TTTTACAAAATGAAATAAAGTTAAAATTTAAAAAGAATTATCATAAGACGCAGTATTACACCTGTTAAAGAAAAATTTATATGATTTTTTCTTTGTCAATCAGCAAATTAAAAAATCTTTATTTATTACTTATATCAAAAAAGCAGATGACAAGCCATCTTCGTGCTGTAGTTTTGATAAAATCTTCATAATTTCGTCAAGCTTTTTATCTTGTTTCAGTTGATTCTTCCAGATAACTTTATTTTGTCCGTTTAATTTTTCTAAAAATTCCACAGGAACTATATAACATTTATTATGATTTCCTAAATTGAGAAATAAAATAAAAAATAAAAATTAGAAAATTAAAATCCTTGGAATACATACAGGTCAGATTTTAAAAATAGTATAATGTACCAACTACAATTTTCTTGTTTGTTTGTGTTAGTACAATATCATCCATATCATGTTCGCATTTTCTTGAAGTTTTCAAATCAGAAGATAAGTGATCTTGTTCATCATATTCTGTTTCAATATTTTTAGAATTGTTAAAATCATCATTTTCATTTATAGGTTGAGGTTGGTCATATAGTTCCAGAGAACAATAATCATCATCTTTTTCTTTATTGAGATCTCTGTCATCTCGTTCATTTTGATATTCACTTAGATTGATTTTTGGACTTTTCATTTTACGATTTTGATGTATTTGCTTAGAACTGGTTAAAACCTGTAAACGACATCAAAACAATTTTGTAAGTAATAAGAAAAATAAGATACAAAGAATAACATATACTTTTGTTGGACTCTCTAAGTATAGATTTGGTCGTGTTAATAGATAGTTGTTGTGATGGATTCATTGGAGAAATTCTAGATGAAGACTGCGTCTTTACTAAAGTTGGGAATTTAGCTAGTTTAAAATAAAATATATTTAATATATAATTGATAATTTGAATAAGTAAAATAATAAAATTAATATAATACCTTTTTTTCCTATAATTTTTTCTGCTCTTAAACTTCTTTCCATTATTTTATTAACTATATAAAGATATTACATTAGCATCATTTTAACTCTAAAATTACAAAACTCTAATAAATCTGAAGAAATTACATTTTGTTATAAAACTTGTGATTTATGAGAAAGAAGTGTTCGCGTGGAAAAGAGTGATTCGTGTGGGAAATAGTTCGTATGAAAAAAGGAATTAATAAAATAGCTTAATAAATCATATTAAAAAGGCGATTATGTAATAGTGATTCCGAAGTTTATCGATGACATATAATAGTTATTCTGGAGTTAGTTGATGCATATAGATCATGAATGATCACTAATAGTAAATCTGATATATTTAAAATCTTATAATCATAAAGTAATAAAAATTGAATTACAAGTTAATGAATCGGTTATAAAAGTATTCAATAACAATTTTTTATTTATTTTATGATGAAAAACATTTTTTTAAAAAAATACAAAGATTATTAATTATACAAAATGAGTTTGTGTTATCTCTACGAAAGATGTAGCCAAACCTTTATAAAACAACAGGGTTTGACACAACATATTCAGTATCACCACCCTTTTGTAGAAAATGAATAAGAAGAGATACAAAATATCGTTAGTAATGATGATGCAGTTATTTTTCAAGATGAAAAGGTATTTGAAAAGTCAGATCCATTTAAAAGAAAATCATCTCGAGTTGAATCGACTAACTTTAATAATACTGAGGTGAGCTTTCAAGATACATGAAATCAATTAATATTTGATATAAATATTAATCATTTACATCTATTACCGACCTAAAATATAAAATATATTAATAGGAATTAGATTATTTTTCAATAGATGAAACATCATTAGAAATACAAAACTCTTCTTATTCTCCTTTGTTACAAGAACTTGACCATAATGAGGAAATTATGAGTGATAATGAAGATATCATATATGGTTCGGATACTGATACTGATTCAGTAGATTCTGAAGATTTTTGTGGAGCTAGCTTTGAAGATGCAGTAAATGATATAATCAATGAGCATATTCCACAGTGGCCTAACGAGATTTACCAAGAATTCGCAAAGATATGTATAGATTATGAACTATCCAATCAAGCGATCAATTCATTTATTCGCTTTTTTAACAAAAATGCGAATTTAGAAAAATCGCCTCTGCCAAAGAATTCTAAGGAGATGCATGAATTTATGAATTCAATGGCAGTACTGAACCTCGATTTTAAAAAGAAATTTATAATCGACTTTGAGGGTATTTCATATATCCTTCATTACCGTCTAATAATAAAGACAATTAAGACACTTCTTCAAAAATCAGTATTAGTGATAATCCGTTTGCGTTACTAGATGACTGCGCTAATTAATGTCACCAATGATTACTAGGAAAATCGTGATCATCATTTTCACTAATTTCATTACTATCACGATTATCGTTGTGATATTCATTTTCTTTATTTTATTTATTATCATATTTATCATTATTTTATTTAATATATTTATTTTCATAGTTATATTTACTTTCATTATTATATTTATTATCTCTATCTTATAATTGTATTTTATATAAATATCTTGTATTGTCGCCTTGACAAACTAATAAGTTTCTATCATACAATTAATAAATTATAATCTTAATAACATAAAAACTATATCTTTGCTAATATCTATTTCTTTAAAACATAAATCATCAATAAAGATGACCTGATCCTTCAACTTAAATAAATTCGTGTTTATTTCTTTCATAGTTTACAACTTAAACTCTCTGTTAGCAAATAAGCTTTATTATCCTAATGACGTGGTATTTAGGCTTAACACGTCCATGCCATTAATATAGAAAGATCATTCTAATAATACAAGATATTTGAATTAAAGGTTTTATTTAGTAATTTTATTTTTTATTTATGAAATTTACATTATTTAATTATAACATATACTTATTAAGCTTATAATATTATTAAAAAAATATTTGGTTTTCTAGAAAATATTAAAACATCAGTACTTTAAAATATTAGTCATAATGTAAATATTTATGTAATTTTAACCGTAATGAATAATTCTTACAAATTTAGAAAAAATATTTTGATAATAATGAAAGAATTTTTAAGGATGAAATTATATGATAGAAATACCGAAATTAAAAATATGCTATAGTAGCATATAGAAATAAATATAATATGTTAAATAATAGTAAAAATAGCATTTTCATCAAGATTTTGAAAGTAAGTTGTATGAAATTAAATAAATCCTTATTTACATGTATAAATATGTTTTTATATAAAAATTTATTATACTTTGCTGAATTTTCAATGTTTAAAATTTCATAAGTGATTGATTGGTTAATCATTCATCCAATTGAATTTATTGTGTGAAATATTCGTCAAAATATCATGTAACTGCGATTTAAGTCTCAATTTCCCCAGCATAACCACTAAAAAATCACCAGCATATAATATTTTGTAACACATCAGCCTCATTAGCCTCATCAGCCATGTTTCATATTTATTAATTTTGTATTCTAAATATTAAATATTATCGAAACCTGTATTCAAATATTAGTATTATCTTGCTCTTATTTAAAATATTGTGAAATGTTTTGAAAAGAAACTTCAACTTATTCTTAGTAATAAATATACTTAAAATAAAGGTGTTAAAAAATTGTTTATTTTGCTATTTATTTTACATTTTTAAGTGTAATTTTAAGACATGTATATTATTTAATTTGAATATATGTATATTATCATATTGATAGTTTTTTAGATGTATTCTCAAGAGCAATATTGATAAGTTGCAAATATGTTCTGGTTGTTATAAAAGTTTAACTATTGAACTTTATCTTTATGATAAAACCAGTAAACACTTTTGTACTTGCATTCACTGTCATATAAAACAACCAAAAAAATCAAAATGCAACCTCTAAGAGGCTGAAGATAGTAGTAATTCAGATAATACTGATTCTATAACACAATTTCTTAATTTTAGTGAATTTCTTGACTTTTATTCAAACAACTAGAAGAATTTGCTAAAAACAAAAAAAATGAAGAAAATTTGAAGTTAAATATAATATGTATTGTTAATTCTTTCTTATTTGATGAATTACCAGAAGAAACTGCTAATCAAATTACAATATAACTTAACACAATTTTCAGATATAGATGAATATTCTTGAAAGTAAGTAATTATCAAATTTTATATTAACAAAGATACAAAATCTATTAATACAGTACTAATCATTTAATACTTTTATTACTAATTTCCATAAAAATATGAATATCAAAAGATGAATTCTATATCTTTTTAATATTTTTATTCTCAGCAAACAAATCTCAAAAAAAAATCATGTAAATATGTAAACCTTAATCATCAATATAATACACCTTTAAGAAAAAGATTTAAGTGCAATAGAATACTTAAAATTACTATTGATATAGTGGCTAGCATCTTATAAATTCAATCAATTCATAATCATCTTCACTCTTCTTCTTCAAATTATTCTGTACCAGATTATGTTAAAGATTTAATTAAAGAAATATCTATATTTTACCTTGAGAAATTTATGCTAAACTGATTTCTAATAGAATGGATTTATCAATCTACCAAAAATAAATATATTTTTAGTAGTCAAAATTTATGGCTAATTGATATTAATGTCTTAAAGAATATAATTTTGAGATTATATTTTTTTCAGAATCTCCAATATAAGCTATTGATTTTATGATAGAAATTGAGAAGATAATTAAAAAAAAATAAAATTTCACTGTATGAGTATAGTCACATGTAATTTTTAATTAACAAAATATATATTTTAGTTAATAAAAAAATAATATTGACCAATATAAAAAAGGTAAGTAAATTGACTTAAAAGGAAAATAGTATTCATATTGCTAATAATCATTACCTTATAATATATAAAAAAAGAAAGATTTTCAAAAAAATCTTGATGCCATTTTTAAGAAAACATTATTACTATTTATAGTTACTGTATTCGTTATACTATTTCAGTATTTTGTTATACTGTTTCAGTAGTTCACTATACTATTTCTGTATACTATTTTACTGTAATATTTTAATGAAACAGAAGTTTTTTATATATCAAAAAAAAATATCTGTATTTTTTTTACAAAATTTTATATTTTTAGTCTAGCCTTAAAAAATTAAAATCAGATTTGTATAATATAATTATTAGACATTGTAAAAAAAAAAAAGATCTATAAAGGCATAGTTAATCAACACCTTTTTACTAAATCAAAAAAAAATATATATAAATTTAAGCTTAACTTTTTAAGGGTAGACGAGATGCAATTGATCACAAATTTGATTAATTTAATTAAAAAGATAAAACAATTAGTAATCTAAAATAATATTAAAAAATAATACAAATTCGCAACTTACCTTCACTCAAATAATCCAATTGAAACCTAAATCTAAACCTAAAATCATTTAAATAAAAAAAGAAAAATAAACTTACCTTACTACGATGGACTGATCGAATAGAACCCAATCAAAAGCTATAAAAAAATAAGTAAAAACATTTAAACAATAAGAAAAAAAAGATAAAAAACTCTACACTCACCTTGCTATAATAGATTGATCAGACAGAACCTGATCAAAAGCTATAAAAAAAATAATAAATAAAAGAAAAAAAAGTAAAAACATTTAAACAATAGGAAAAAAGATAAAAAATTCTGCATTCATCTTGCTGTGATAAACTGATTAAATGGAATCTGATTAAAGGTTAGAAAACAAAAAATAAATAAAAAAATAAATAAAAAAACGTTTAAAATAATAGGAAAAAAAAAATAAAAAAATCTGCACTCATCTTACCATTACAAACTAATCAGACGGAATCTAATCAAAAGCTAAAAAAATAAATAATAGAAAAAAAATAAATAAAAAAATTTTAAAAACAATAGAAAAAAAATAAGTAAAAACATTTAAACAATAGGAAAAAAAAGATAAAAAACTCTGCATTCACCTTACTATAACAGACTGATCAGATAGAACTTGATCAAAAACTATAAAAAAAAATAATAAAAATAGAAAAAAAAGTAAAAACATTTAAACAATAAGAAAAAAAGTTAAAAAACTTTGCACTCATCTTGCTATGATAGACTGATCAGATGGAACCTAATTAAAGGCTAAAAAATAAAAAATAAATAAAAAAGAAAAAAAGCATTTAAACAATAGGAAAAAAAAAAGATAAAAAAATCAACACTTATCTTGTCATGATAGACCAATCAGATGGAACCCAATTAAAGGCTAAAAAAAAATAAATAAAAAAATAAATAAAAAATGTTAAAACAATAGAAAAAAAAATAGGTAAAAACGTTTAAATAATGGGAAAAAAAATAAAAAAAATTTTGCACTCACTTTGCTGTAACGGACCAACTAGATGAAACCTGATTAAAGGCTAAAAAACAAAAACTAAATAAAAAAAGAAAATAAAATAAATAAAAAAACGTTAAAATAATAGAAAAAAAAAGAAGATAAAAAAAATCTGCACTCATCTTGCTGTAACAGACTGATCAGACGAAATCTAATTAAAGGTTAGAAAATAAAAGATAAATAAAATAAATAAAAAATAAATAAAAAACGTTAAAATAATAAGAAAAAAATAGGTAAAAACATTTAATTAATAGGAAAAATAAAATAAAAAAATCTGCACTTACCTCAGCAATCTGAACTATTAAAAGAAAACATACTGTAACAGACTAATCAAACGGAATCTGATCAAAAGCTAAAAAAAATAAATAATAGAAAAAATAAAAAAATAAATAAAAAACGTTAAAATAATAGGAAAAAAATAAATAAAAAAAGAAAAAAAATGAGTAAAAACGTTTAAACAATAGGAAAAAAAAATAAAAAACTCTACACTTACTTTGTCGTAATAAACTGATCAGACAGAATCTAACCAAAAGCTATAAAAAAAGTAATAAAAAAAGAAAAAAAAGTAAAAACATTTAAATAATAGGAAAAAAAGATAAAAAAACTCTGCACTCATCTTGCTATGATGGACTGATCAAATGAAACCTGATTAAAGGCTAAAAAATAAAAAATAAATAAAAAAAAAGCATTTAAACAATAGGAAAAAAAAGATAAAAAATCTGCACTCATCTTGTCATAACGAACCAATCAGACAGAACTAAATCAAAGGCTAAAAAAAAATAAATAAAAAAATAAATAAAAAACATTAAAACAATATGAAAAAAAATAGGTAAAAACGTTTAAATAATAGAAAAAAAATAAAAAAAATTCTGCACTCATCTTGTTATAATAGATTAACCAGATGGAACCTGATCAAAGGTTAAAAATCAAAAATTAAATAAAAAAAAAAAAATAAAATAAATAAAAAAATGAAGATAAAAAAAATCTGTATTCACTTTACCATGACAAACCTATCAGACAGAATCTGATCAAAGACTAGAAAAAAAAATAAATAAAAAATAAATAAAAAATAAATTAATAAAAATCTGATCACTTACCTAAACTGCAATGGACTAATTACACTGAACTGATCAAAAGCTAAAAAAAAAAGAAAAAATTTAATAAAAAGAGTTAAAACAATGTAAAAAAAAAGAATACATTATTTAAATCTAAATATTAATAAAATTAATTTTATTAAAAAATAAAATGGGTGGATGATGTAGTCATCTGCAGTAAAAATCAAATCCTAATTTATAATTAATAAATCTAATAAAATTTTTTAGTAATTACTAAAGTTTTTTATTATTTTATTATTATTTATTTAGATAATACTAACAATTTTAAATTTAAGCTTTATAATTTCATGCAGAAGTTCACAGTATTGGGTTTTCACTGGCTTATTTATTTCTTAAAAATAATGGAAACTGCAGTAAATTAATAAGAACAGATACTATAGCAGCCTTTTTAATAGAAATTAGATTTCACAAATATGTAAGCTAGAATTTTTTCTAACAAATAAGGATTTTGTCTAGATTTCTGCTATACAATATGCATGCTAAGTATAAAAATTCAATTATGCTAGTGGTATATGCAATAAGCAATTGAAACAAAATTAAAGGATTCCAAAAAGGTTTAACAAATTATATACAATTTACTTATTGCACATGAAAAATTTTCTTTTATTGAAAAAACATTTGTATCAACAATAGAAACAAGGTCAAAAAAGATTTGTCTTAAAAAATTGTGTAAAGAAGTATAAGAAATTATACATCGACATTTACATCAGCATTCATTAATATTAAATTTAACCAGAGAGTATTTAATAAGCATTCAAATATGAGAACAAGCTGTAAAAGAAATTTATGAATTTTATAAACAGCATTCATTAATATACCTTTGGGTATATTTATGAAACAAGTAGTATAATGATAGTTATGGACATGATCAGCCTATAAAAATATTTCAATCCTCAAGATGACAATATTCATTAAAGAACACTGGAAAACTTTAAAGCAGAATTTCTATATAAATTCTTTCATCATCATCTTGATCTTGTTACTTACATTATCTTATTAAAAATAATACTACTTTAAGAATGAAAATTTTAGCAAATACTGGTTGGATGGGAAATTCAGATTGAAAAAAAAACAGTTTAAAACTGAGTGGAAATTACTAAGTAAACGCAATATTGAAAATACTTATACAATAAATATTCAAAATTGGGTTTGTAGCTATTCTTATTTTTTGACAAATTAGTATAATTTGTAAGCATTTGATTTAGATAAAAGGGTAGTAAATGCAGAATTTTTTCACAAAATTCAGAGAAACCATAATTATCTATTTATATGAAAAGTAATCAAAATATTTCTTATGAACAAGTTCTATTGTAGGAACTATAGCAATTTCTGAAACTAAAAGTACTGATTTAACTGAAAAAAGTTAGGAGGATAATATTATTATTTATAACTGACTTATTAATGTAATATAAAAAGTCTTAGGATTTTTAAAGGAATATAAGAAGCTAAAATTCTTAATAGATTAAAAAAGTAAAATGAAATTTTTTGTTAATTGAAAATATAGTTCAAGAAG